GGAGCACTAGCCATAAGAATGTCGGCATACAGCATTATTGTGCTTAAATATCCTTCAAGAAGATTCCAGTAGTAATTTGTAACACCGTGTTTTCAAGGCTTACTAGAAAACGCCGTCCATCTTGCTCATGATCAGTTTTTCCTATTCGCACATGACTGGGGAATATGGGAGACTTGAAAAGTCCAAGCATTTAACTATGCTAATATAACAGTTTTGTGATATAAAGAACTCCTCCGGGAATAGGTGGAACTAAAGCCTGACGAAATTAAGTCTCTCGACTCAATTATTGCATGTTATGGCACCATTCAGCTATAATCAGCAAGGAGAATCGCGCTACTCTCGAATACTGCTGTATACCTGTTCAATATTTTGACTGGTAATGAAGTTTATCTTTCCACAAAATTTCGTATATATGCATATATATGTTTCTTATGTTTCTACTTCCTATGTTTCTGCTTATGTTCATCTCTTGCTGGTCAGTTTTAAAGTAATTCTAATAAGATGCTTTAAGTAGCAATAGTGCGCATCTTTACCTCAAGAGCATTTTAAATTATCTAATATCACCGTTAATTAATGAGTCAGCAATCCCGGAGGCTTTAGAATGTCGCTTTAATTGTTTAATTTTGAAAAGAGCTATGATCTCTTTAATCGTGCTTAAATCTCAAAGGTGCAATTGGAAGACTTTTTCAGAAGGACGGGTGATGCTTCACTGCTAGGCTGAAGGTTAAGTATCCGGTTCGATCAATATTCAATAACTTATTACTTTTATAAGTTTAGTCATTTATTATTAATTGACACGAACCAGCAACTTGCGCTACAGAAGCCCACGAAAAATTTAAAGCAAAGTATTGACAAATAGCTAAGCGAATCTGAATGATGCTTTGGTGTAATTTTGCCAGAACCGAAACTGAAGATCAAAGTTTTCCGGCATAACTACACCAATGCATCATACTGATTCGCCTAGTTGTCCTTCGGTGACGTGTCTCAAACTACCTTTTGGATTTTATTGGACCGGGTTAACGGTTAAAGGTAATTATTAATAAACGGGAAAACTAAAAACTATTAAGTTAAACACTTTGTGCCTTTCACTGTTTCACACCGCAACTTTAGCAGCTCTAGACAAGAACTGACTGGTACATCAAAAGATTGTTTGTCGCATTCATGAAGAATCAAGCTCAAAACCACCTCAATAGAATTTCTGCAGTATGAACCTTTGCCATCCTCTAACAGGCGATGACAATGGAAGATGATGGAAATTCCCTCCACCTTCACTTTTACTTAGGCTGCTGGTCTGTCCGAGGCAAGTGCACAAACTCTGGGTCACAAATCAGAATTACTCTGCGAAACAAGCTTAGCTGTATATCGATTAAATGACAACAGCAAGGTGGTGTGCTTGCTTCGTTAGGGATTACGTTAGGACTGTCGATAGATTTTTTGGCTATCATGACGAATTGAGAGTACTCATTTCTCATTCCCAGTCACATTACACGAGTTATATCTTTCTTCAACAAGAAAATCCCCAATGAGCTCATAAATGAGGTAGCCTCGCGGGCACGGGAACGCTGACATTTTCTCTTCTTAACAAAATACAGCAAAATGATGGAGGGAAATAGTTCTCTGTCATTTCTCCAGATTTTCTTAGCGCAGATGCATCGTTCTTTACTATCAATAGCCTAAGCACCCATTAAACCAGAATACGGCCCAATGCATTGTAATATGGCATCTACAATGCATGCATGAATAACCACTTCACCGTGATGGGTCGAACAATTCTATTGAGACACCAACTGAAGTGTCACTTTGCGTAGGCCAGAATATATGCATACAAGTCAACTCAGGTGTCATGAGTTCATTCGCAGACTTCTCGTTTCTGAAGAACATAGAAGTCGAAGAATCTCTCTAAGCCATAGGCAAAACATCAACCTATTCGTAGTTTTCTCTGAAAGGATGAAGGTATAACGTGCAAGCCTCAAATCACTGGCGTGAAGCTGCTGCAAGTTCTTCGTGATTCTTTTTTTATACGTATGTTCTTCTGCTTATTCATCATTTAGATAATGTTATTATTTTAGGGTCGATTCAGAAATGCACTAAGGTTATGGCACAGAGTGAATATCTGAATATGCTCATGACCATTGCAGCTATGCATTGCTCGGCCGCTTGCTCTACTATGAACCTCGATATTAATTTTACACCAATTTGAATCGGTAACAAAATTTCTCAGACTGTTCCGAGGAATCAATGAATTCATGTCTTGCAATG